AACCTGTTTTAACCATTGCGTGCTAAACCATTTTTTACGAACTAATATGGTTCATATGAGTCAGATACCGACGGACCTATGGACTTTGGTTTTACGTGCTAGCTCTACTCGAAAATTGTGTAGTAAAGAGTAGTCGTCATTATTATTAAATTTCTTTTGATAAGTTGTTATTGGTTATCCTTGTTATTATTATTCTTTTGATAAGGTCTATTGTTGTTATTATTATTGGCATCTCCTTGGAGCTTCTAGGTGAGCTTTTGGTTATTACGAATTGCATTCTGGAAGTACTTGCCTCTGTCAAATGGTTGACTAATATGCATTGAATGGCATCTCTTTCCAGGATAATTTTGGTAGGCTGCATGATAGAAGCAAAGAAACCCCTAAGACAATGAAGCAGCTCACCCGCCTGTTCCCCAACAAAGTTACCATACAGATTCCTCCGGTAACTTTCAGTTTATGTTTAGACTGCCAAGTGCCAACTGTATTAAATTTTGATTTAAGTATGTAATAGGGATCTTCTTGTGGCAGGATGAAACCTTATTATCAGACTGGAAGCAACAGTTAGATCAGGATATGGAAACTATGAAATCTCAGTCAAACATAGCAAGCATTCGCAATGTGAGTGCTCTATTCTGACCAGCTAAGGGCAAAAACCTTTTATCTTAGATCCCTTCATTGTTTTTGGGTTGTGGATTTTGTAGGACACATAGGCAACACCATGAACATTTCTTTAGCACTTCAATTTTCATTTTCTTACTGTCTTGTCCTGGATTCAGCTGAAAGGCTGAAACCACCTTCTCATCAGCGCATCCCTTGCCAGAAGAAAAGTTCATTTTACTCCACCACTTGTGAAGTTAGCATAAGATAATATTTACAATTGACTGTTTATGATGATTTGTATAAGAAAGATAAATGAGTATGATGCTTATGGAAATGTATCCTCAATGAACTGATTTATTGAGCTGTTCTAACTATATGTGCGATTTCAGGTTTTGAATCGAATCAGAATTGATTGCCCTGACCTGGAAACTTTATGCATAAAAGATCAAGCCCTCACAAACTAAAGTAAGTGTTTTCTCGTAGTTTTAGGCCTTTTAGCTTTGAAATCGTTTACTTGATTATAACAGTCTATCATATTTCTTGATGTGGCTGTCAAGGCATTGAAAAGATAATCGCCTGGGCTTTGAGTCATCACTTTATGCATGAATCTGAGTCTTCCGTGA